AAACTCAGCGAGGGCACATTCACCACTTTATAGAGTTCTTGGAAGTGTAGATGCCACTCAGAATATGACTGTGGAAAAGAACACACACTAAGGAGCTGCTAAGCCTACTTACTGAGATAAGGTGTAGACTCATTATTTAATCCTTACCACAATCCTAAGAGATGTGTAACCACTCTTAATGGATGAAGGCAGTAAAAAGGAGAGACAAAGTATCTTGCCTGAAGTTAACACAGTAAGGAAACTGCAAAAAATGAGTTTGGAAATGGATTTATCATATCCTACAAGAGGGCCATTCTCAAGCTGGGAACAATGTCCTCAGGACTGCAAATGCAGAGAAAACAGGGCAAGCACCAGTCTATTGAGTTGAAACCCTTCTCCCCTGGGGAATGAGGATGCTGGCTCTTGGAACATAAGGGTTCCTGAAACACAATTTCAAAGTCATTGACTAAACAATGCAAATGGTTTTAAAGTCACTGAGTAAATACAGTAATGAGGACGGCATTTGGCAGGTTCTTCATGTGCAAGGCATCACTAGAGGCATTTAATGTGTACTACGTCACTCGATTCTCTCAACAAGTCTATAATGGAGATACAAATATTGCCACTACTTTAGCTTTATAGTGAGAGGTCTACAAATTTGCATAAGATCAGAGAAAAAAGGCGAGCCAGAATCCAGAGGCGAGAGTCTCACGTCCATACTTCATGTCTCTGTATATAGGTGCAACTACATTTATAATACAATGTGAACCTCTCTCTGGAACTGTGCTATTGCCATTATCCTTCCTCTTGCCTTCCTGACCTTTCTGAGATCAGGAATGATGCAAAAACCCCTTCTGAATACCTTTATTATTTTCCTCTAGGGTCTGTCCACAAAGCTTTGTTTGTGAGTCACTGAGAGGAAGGTCTTTGTTTACCAAATTGGAGAAGTTCTATCATGACCTGGAAACTGTTCTCAGACAAGGCACAGAAGAGGGGCACATTACTGTCTCCTGTGTCTCCTGAACTGAACTGAGATGGCTTGAAGAAAAGGCAGCAATCATTGTGTGATCTGGCCACGTTTTGGGATTTCCTAGCTGCCAGTTAACATGATCATTCTCTCCAAAAATGAACTAGGTCTATGCCAATCCCCTTGGCCATTCTGCTAACTTACCACTAGCCTCAAATTAGCATGTTTAAATGAAAACCAATTTAAAAATGCAGGAGGAGAGGGAAAAAATTGTCAATCAGCTATAAATTTGTCATTTTAGAGGGAAAAAAGGAACTCTTTAAGGTGACCAGGTTACCATTTAAAAAATAGTAACAACATCCTATAGGAATATAAAGGCTAGAAATTAGATCTTTCCCCAAAATAACCTTTTTCAAATGAGAACACAAGGCTCTAATTTATATTTCCTTTTGTGTAACAAATTTGAGTGTCATAAAAATGGTTAAAAAGTCTTCCTATGGTAGCTTTTTCTAAACTTTTATGAACATCTGCCACATTCATTTGAAGTTTAAAAAATTCTGGCACATATGCAAAGGCATAATAAGGTGCCTATAGCTTTCAAGAAGAAATAACAAGACAGGGAAAAAAATAAGCCTTTTGCTGAATTGCCAGTAAGAAAAGTCTTGTGTGAGTGAAGACTGGCCTTTCTGAGCTCCTTAAAAAGAACTTTCCTCTTGCCCCAAGCAGAGCTTCCTTTCCAAGCATTGTGACTCTGGGGCCCTGGGGGGAGGGGGGGAATGTCTCTCTCTTACCTGAAGGGTAAAATAGAACTGGCTAATCCCAGTCAGAAAGCTTGAACAGGGTCTCAGAGTCTGAGATGAAATAATGGGTGAACATTGGGAGACCTGCGTTCCAACATTTGGTAGTTAACAGCTGCCCAGAACCGGGGAAATGCTTCTTTGTTTAGAAAGCGTCTTAGCTGACTCCAAGCGTGGGACGGCTACTATTTTTGTTCTTTTTAGTGATTACCACACAGGAGTACAACATGGCAAACCTCACTCAGTTAACATGGGTAAAGATATGTCTCTGCCAATGATTCTCAAACCTTTTTACTTAAGGCCCTCCAAAGGCTGAGAAGGACTAAGGGCAAAACCGTATGCATATTTTTGTAATGTACATTTTACTACAAAAGGTCTCATTTTAAGTTATTTAGAACTCTATACTTGTTGCTAGGAGCCTTTATGTTGATTTTCATTCATGGCAACCCCACAGTGATAGGGTACAACCCCCTGTGAGGTTTTCTTGGCTATAATCTGTGGAAGCAGACATCAGGTATTCACCCTGTGAAGAGGCTGGATGGATTCAAACTGAGCACACCACCAGGGTCCTCAGAATCATGTAGAAAGAAACGAGAAAATTTACTAGCTTTTACAGTCTTATGGGTCGGTTTCGACTCTATGGTACTCAACACCACCAACCACAACACCAACAATACAACCACCACCCTTAAATGCATTCCAAATACTTACCAACTCTTTTCAGAATCCATTGGCACACTGCTAGATGCCGAGGGTACCACAGTGAATGAAAATACAGTGTTTACATGTGCCCAAGGATGATGGAGAGGGATAGGCAAATACTTATCACCCAGAGCAAGAAGTGGAATATGTGAAAGAACACATACAAAAAAGAGACTTCTTAGGAAAGAGAGGAGGAGGGCTCATCTGTGCAGAGCTGGGGGAACGTGCAGGTGCGGAGGAAAAAAGAGAGCACAGGCTGGGAAGGGCCAGTGACAGGGCAAACACAGCCGTGCATCACTCGGGGATCGTGCACAGGGGCAGCAAACCAGAAGTAGGAAGGTAGGAAGGAGGCCTGCGAAATGACTGCAGACTGGATTCCATAACTGTGTGCATCCTTCCTGAACTTAGCTGGAACATATGAAGCTCTTGTTTTGCTAATCAAAGGGATGAATAAGCTCTTTAAGAGTCTGAGAGAGCTAAAAAAAGTGTCAATGAAGGCAGTGAGGAAGGAACATGATGAGACACATTTCAGAGACCTGGTGACTACTTCTGAGAGAAAGAATGAAGAGGGGAAATGCTCGGCCATGCTCAGCATGTTCTACTTTGGTGCCTTTGTCGGCAGTGATGCCATTTACAGGAACCAGGAAAACTAGAAAAGGTGGTAGGGTGAGAATACAGATAGAAAGATTGAGAGAGAAAGAAACACATTGCTTAAGAAAGACCGAGTTAGAGACAGCTGTGGCACATTGAAGTGAAATTCAACTAACACTTGAAAATTTGAACCTACACCTGAAAATTTGAACCTTAAGTTCACAGAGGCAGTCTAGTGTTAGAATCATAGCCGAGAGGCATGACATTGAGTTGGTAGTGGAAGCAAAAGCCTTAAACAAGATGACCAGAGGGCATGCAGAGAAGAAAAGAAAGCCAAGACTGAGAACTTGGAGAACACAGAAGGAACAAAGAGTCGGAAAAGGGCCAGAAGAAGTCTTTACCGGAGCAGTCCCGAGGTTAAAAGGAGAGGCGGGAGAGAGGAAACGGTAATAATCAGCACTTCGTCACTTTTAATTTTTCACATAGTAGCTTTGAATGCAACCTCAAACTTGACAAACAAAGGTAAAACACTGAAGAAATCGCTTCAATCTGATCTAAATGCATCATCCAAGATAGTCCATAAACTGTGTACTGTATGTGCTTGGGGCTGGGTGATGACAGGGAGGAACTGTTAACAGAATGTAGGAGCCACATGGCCGTCCTGTCAAATTAGAAATTTGAGCAGATTTCTGTGGTCTATTTTGATCAAGATTCTCAATGTCAAACAAACAGGTTTTTCGATAACCAACTTGTTTCATTTTCGTAAGCACAATAGCACAGTGTGCAACAGATAGTGAAGAAGCAGGTGGTCCTCGTCGACGTGAAATGAAGGGAACAGAAGAAGCGAAGTAGCACTTCCTTTAAGACATGCAAAGCATCATCATCACAGACAGGCATGGTTTTAGATTTTTCCCTGCGAGAGCTTCTCTCCTCTATAAAACAGGCAAGCTATCCCTCCCCCTCCTCACTCTGCTCTACGACAAATTTAAGCGCTCTCCTGAGGAGTGAAGGCTTAGGGTTCATGTCTAACTTGCTATAAACTAATGGCACTTACAAAATCACAGATTAGTCCTTTAAAAGAACTGCAATCTAATTGGAACAGTCACACAGAAAGCAATCTGGCATTGGATTCATAGTTTTGACCAAGCACTTCTACTTCATGGGTTCTGTGCTGAGGAAGTAAACAAAATGCAGATAAAGCTTTATGCATAAAGATGTTCACTGCAATGCTACTTACAATACCAAGAAATTGCAAATGCCCAACAACAGGAAAATGGTTAAGCTGTGGTATATCCAAAAAATTGGGAAGTCAGGTAGAAAATGATAAAGTAATGAGAATGGACAAAAACATGTAGAAACCTCTGTGTCATATATTATATAAAATAAAGACATAAAAAAGTAGTATATATACATATAAAATACAAAATTATATATATTACACTTATCATTAATGCACAGTCATTCAAAACCGTACATTTATAGAACAAAGTTCAGGAAGAAGAGAAAAATGCCAACAGTGGTTGACTCTATAACAGCCATATGTAGTATGGATAGTGTCACTTTCCTCTTTAAACTTCTATATGCTTTTGCATATCATATTTTCTACAATTATGAAAGTAGTATTTAACTGGGATTTAAAATAAAGATCATTTTACACACAAATCGAATCTTTTTCCTTATCTCATTCAAACTCTTGAAGAATCTCCAGTACCCTTATTCCTTAACCCAAGAAAAATGACAATCCTCAAGCAAAGAGGAAAATCACTGAAAGAGTCCTGCAGAAAAGGTTCATGTTGAATGGTGAGCTCTGTGCACCTGGCAGGGGAACGGCCACGAGGCTGGTTGTGTCCCCCCACCATGCTCCCATGTAAGAGCTGTCTCTCTCATACTGGGCCTTTCTCACCGTCATGTAACAAAATAAAATCCCACAAAGAGAGAAATGGGGAGGAAAGAAGCCAACTTACCTCCATTAAACTTAAATGGATTCCTATGAGGTAGGGCATGGGAGCACTGCGAAGAGAAACAGAGACACACAGCTGCTTTAATGTCTGTTTGCTTCTGACAGAAAATTATAAGTGGTTCACTATTTGGAGAAAAACTGCTTTAGTAAACGTATGCACAGTTACATTTCCTTTCACAGCAAAAATCCTAATATGACATTTTGTTCCCAAGTCTAGAAATGACAGAAGAATCTCATAATGTGGCCAGCATCAGAAACAGCATGGGATGGCGGGAAGAGCATCATGCTCAGTACTGGCCTCTCCAGCAATGCACATACAGAGCTTTGGCTGCTATCTCTTTAAAATGGGATGCTGGAATCTAACTGGAGGGTCGCCATCAGAATGAAAATACCCAGCAGGAGACTAGTACAGCTCTTGGTTCAATAGAAAAGGCTGAGAGCAATGGTTTTCTAGGCAATAGGTTCTACACACTTGAGTGGGAACTGAGAGTCCTATTCTGAAGTTTTGTTAAACCTGGGAAATTTAAATAGACCTTCTTCAATTGTCATTTACAGCATTACCTACCAGCAATAAATGTGTTAGACTTTGCATGAAGAATTTCAAATGCATCCTCTCTAATCCACTTGATGACAAGGTAGATAGTTGTATCCCTACTTTATGATGGAGAAAAACCAGTCTACAAAACTTAAATAATTTTTCTAATACCAAGAGAGGAGCTCTGGTGGCCCAGTGGTAAGAAACTGCACCGGAACTCGAAGGCACATAGTTTGAATCTATTCTCTAGGACAAAGATGGGCAATCTCCTCCTGTGTTTTATTACTTCTGGAAAGCTGGTGGAGGGTCAGCTCTGGGTTGGTTCCGACTTAATGTTACACCACATCAACAATAACGATACCAAATTAAGTAAGTGGTAAACCTAAGATTTGTCTCCAGATACATGTTCCTTCTCCAGTGCCATGCTGAATTCTTGAGAGCATTTTTACAATACCTAACCTTACCTCCCATGCAACCTGTGCATGTGGGGTGGGGGGAGTAGGAAGGAAGGAGTGATCTGCAATTTCTCCATATGTCTCTCACATGTGATACAGTCAGTATGTGATACAGCTCAGAGAACAGTATACCAGAAAGGTACTCAGACTGCAGGGACTAGGTATCCTTCCTCTGGGGCCATGTGGGGAGTGGAGGTGGACCAACTTCAATAGCTCTGGTGGGGAATGCACTCGAGAAACAAAGAGTGCTAAGAAACAAGGCAGGAAAGGTTTGCTTCCTGTTGAAAATGAACAAAATGAGGGTTTTCAAGCATCAGATTTACATTTTAAAGTTGCTCAAACATTTAAAAAGAAGAAAAGATTCGATTCCCTCATTACCATTCAACAAATGAAATTCCTCAAAAGAAAATCCTTCCCTAGAATATAGAATGTCCTCCTTACTACAGATCTCAGCAGTGATATATCTTGGAAGTTGGTAAAACAGACTCGAATATTAGTAGCACAGTTTGGGAACTATTCTTCTAGAAGACTTGTATTTGATAATAGCCACAGAAAGAACTATACACATAAGTGCGATGTAAGTGGAGTTGTCCTTTCTTCTTCTTCATCCGTTTTTTTATAAAAGGTATCTGCTGTGCACATTCAGCTTCTCTTTGCATCTACAGGCAAGGATATGCCCTACGGTATTTTTCCCCCTTAAACTGTAAACCATTAGTTTAGCTGCCAGCTACACAAATGCTCAAACTTCCCAGTGTGCCTGGCTCTGCTGTCCAAGCTTTTTCTAGTATACACTGAAATGAATGTGTTTCTAATTAAGTAGCTTCAGGAACACGACAGCTTCAATGTCAAAAATACAAAGTCTGAACCCTGGCAGGAAGTCTTAAGACTGCAAATGTCTCATCTAGTGGAACCTTGCCTAATGTAATGAAAGGAAGCAGAGAGTGCAAAATTCCAGAAAAAGTAGCCACTTATAAATATGTCCAGAAGCGCAGCCTAACACAGAAAAGAGCAAAAACTCAAATCCATATTAAAAACCAAATCCCACCAACTTTTCTGGCTCCTTCATTTGATCATGCAACTGACCAGTGGGCCAGAGTTTGCATTAGAATTTTAGACCTGAAATTAACATCTAAAATGAGTCAACATTAACAAAAAATCAGATACAGGGGTAGGGGTAGGTGGAAATAAATACTGACAGCAGAAGCCCTTTATAGTACTTAACCACAGGTTCATATTTGAAAAAGAAAGATCTTCCAGAATTTGAAATATGTAGGTTTTAATGTCATGTACTTTTGTCCTGCAATAAAATCAATGAAACCCTGAAAGAGAAGGGGGGAGAAGGGGCTGTACGGAACGGACTGCAGAGGCAAGATGAAACAAAGGGGGATCCATTTCTCAGGCACATTTAGGTTGGCAATTTTTTAAACCCAATAATTTTCCAAAGAGTAATTATGGTTTATCATAGAAATGCCATTTCTTAGCCAAGCATTGTTAGGGCTAAAACAGCTCTGTATTTAGAAAATATTTAAAATACATTTATTCAGAAACCATAGCAGCTCGATGTTTTGTATGAATGCAAGTTTGGACAAATACCTTTTACATTGTCATCATTTGCTTTAAAAGTCTCAAATACTTTGCTGAATCTACTGCATGGTTGTTCCCCGCCCCCCCCCGCAAATAAACTAATTACAAATTCTAAGTGGTGAGGGAGGGAGAGAGAAGTAAAAGAAACTCAGATTCTCTTTAACATCTCAATGTTGCAAGTGTATAATGGATAGTTTCAGGTATACTCTGAAAACAATTTCTATTCTCAATATACCTTAACAGTTACTGCAACTACTGACTTGTTTTCTTTGAAAATCTGCTTTTGTTTGCCTTTTTTATTATAAAGAACAATCTTTTGAAAACGAAAAGCACCTTCTGTGATTATAATCTTAACACAACTACTCTTTATTCCCTTTTGACATGCCAATAACACTTTCTTATGTTTGAAATTATATATAAGGTGGGGATTTTGAGGATGGTACAGGGTAGGGCAAGATTTTGGCCTATTGTTTGTAGGTTTACTATGAGTCAGAGCTGACTCAATAGACCTAACAAAAACAGGTATTATATATGCTTACTGAATACATTTTATTGTTTCTCACTGATTACCTTAGCTTTTTCATATTGTTCTACAGTTTTTTAACTAGTATTTTTAAGAGTGCATAATATTTCAACAAATATGGGTGTATCATTACTTACTGAACCATATTTTTAGAGTTATACAGTAAGTTACATCCAATTTTCTACTAAATGTAACATTATAATTAAACTGTACAATTTCATGTGTATGAATGACTGTGTCAAAGGGCAGGAACTTTTTTTGTACCTTTTAATTTAAACTGACAAAATGTTTCCCAACAGAGCAGTACCTGCCTCAGTGGAAATCTTTCAGGATGTTGGATCAGTTAATCCATGAGGTGGCCTAACCAAGGAGCAGTATCTAGAAGAGATCGAGGAAGTACTGACATCTTGTTCTCTTCTGGTCCTTGCATGACTGATACAACTGGACTCATCTATTGCCTGGAGAAGGATTTCTTGTTCCAGCTCTAGTTCCAAAGAAGGATATTTTGTTAGGATGGTTGATATCCAGCTATGAAGGTAAGGTTCTTGACCCGCCACATCTCTGAACATGGGTTTCTGATTCCCAAGCACACACTTTTATCACCTGTCTGTCCACTGAGTTCAGTTGTTGTTCTTATTGTGTACTGTTGAGTCAGAACCAACAGAGGCAGTAAATCACACGGGAGGAGATTGCTCATCTTTTTCCCGTAGAACAGTTGGTGGATTTGTACCACATACCTTTGGGTTGGCAGTGCAATTACATGGCAGTAAGGCACTAGAGCTCAGCAGGGATGCTTATCACTCTCTTTGGGAAGGTGTCTTTATTCTTTAGGCTCCAGCCAGAAATGCAAACACTACCGATAAATGATGAACCATTGCTTTCTGGCCACTTATAATTTTATGTTTCCTGAAACAGCTCTTGACTTTGGTTAAGTTTTTAAAAACTGTTACCTTCTTGGTCATACAAAAAATAGAATATACAAAATTACATTGGTTAAGGTATTCATTAAACTTCTTCCCATTAAGAGTGTGCTTCATTTGAATAATTTTCTGACTCACTGACATCAGTGTCTATGTTTCTTTACAGAACATCTCAGTGATAAAACAAAAGTAACTGCACCCACTACATGTTATCATCAATAGAAAGATTTTTTCCATTATTTTCCAAGAAAATATGAATGTAAATATCTGTTTCATGAATAACAAATATTGTTGTTGTTATATGCCATCGAGTCGCCTGTGACTCTTAGCGACCCTATGTACAAAAGCCCTAAACCCTGCTCTATCTTGTGCCGACATTATTGTCTCTGACACACCACCCCCCCATTACCCCATTCACTGAATCAATCCATCTCATCAAGGGTCTTTCTCTCCTGCGCTGTCCCTCCACCCTCCCAAGCATGATTACCCTTTCCAGGGACTGGTCCCTCCTTGCAATATGTTCAGAATATTGTCAGACAAAGGAAGCTTCAGAATCCTTGCCTCCAAGGTCTCACTCTCTCTAGGACAAACCTGTTTGTTCTCCTAGCAGTCCATGGTATATTCAATACTCTTCTTCAACATCATAACTCAAAGGCATTAATTCTCCTTCTATCATCCCTAGTCAATGTCGAGCTTTCTGATGCATAGCAAGTAACTGTAAAGACTCTGGCCTGAATAAGATGCACCTTAGTCTCCAGACTGACATCGTTGCTCTTCAGTACTTTGGAGAGGTCTCGGACAGCAGACTTGCCCAATGCAATTCATCTTTTCCTTTCCTGGCTGCAAACATACACTCTGCTTTTCTGCTTTATTCCCCTTCCCTACCCTTTGCATTCCCAAGGACTTTATAATTAAAATTTAACTCAGTGTAATTCTGAAGATACTATTAATGACAATTAAGTACAACATGAAGAAAAACAAAATAAAAAATAATTTAAGTGGTGGTAATGTTAACACTGTGACCAAGTTCATG